AAAGCCACACACAAATGTTTATAGTAGTTTGACATGTAATAGCCAAAAACCAAAACAACCCATATGTTCTTCAAGGGGTGAATGGTTCAACAACCTGTAATGCATCCATACCATGGACTACTATTCAGATGTAAAAAGGAATAAAGTATTTATACATGTAACTAGCTTGATGAATCTCAAGAAACTGACGCTGAGTGGGGGGAAAAAAAAAAAAAAAAAAAGCCTAGCCAAAAGGTCATATAGTGTATGACTTCATTTATATATTCTTGAAATGTTAAAATTATAGAAATAGCAGAGCAAGGTGGCTCACACCTGTAATCTCAACACTTTGGGAGGCCGAGGTGGGAGGATTGGTTAATCCCAGGAGTTCAAGACCTGCCTGGGCAACATGGTGAGACCCAGTCTCTACAAAGTAATACAAAAAAATTAGCTGGACATGGTGATATGTGCCTATTGTCCCAGCTACTTGGGAGGCTGAGGTGGAAGGATCTCAAGGGGAGGCTGCTGGTGAGCCAAGATTGTGTCACTGCACTCCAGCCTGGGCCACAGAGCAAGACGCCTCTCAATGGCTTTACTGTGATATAATTTACATACCATAAAATATGTCATTCACCCATTTTAAGTGTACAACTCGATGAATTTTAGTATATTTTAAAAGTTGTACACTATCACCACAAACTAATTTTAAAGAATTCCCATCAGCCTTAAAAGAAACCTTGAGGATGGGCACAGTGGCTCACACTTGTAATCCCAGCACTTTAGGAGGCTGAGACAGTCGAATCACCTGAGGTCAGGAGTTTGAAACCAGTCCCGCCAACATAGCGAAACCCTGTCTCTACTAAAAATACAAAAATTAGCCAGGCATGATGGTGCACGCCTGTAATCCCAGCTACTTGGGAGGCTGAGGCATGAGAATCGCTTGAACCCAGGAGTCAGAGGTTGCAGTAAGCCAAGACTGCACCACTGTACTCTAGCCTGGGCAACAGAGTGAGACTCCTTTGTCTCCATCAACCCCCCAAAAAAGGAAACCTTGTGCCTTTCACATTCACTCCCCATTTTCACTCTCAGCATCTGATCATCATTCGTCTACCTCTGTCTCTACAGATTTTTCTTTTCTGGAATCCTTTACAAAAACAGAATATGATATGTGCTATTTGTGTTTAGCTTTTTTCATTTAGCGTTTTTCAGGGTTCATCATTGCTGAAGAGTATCCATTATATGGAGACACCACATGTATTAGGCCCTTCTTGCACTGCTATAAATACCTGAGGCTGGGTGATTCACAAAGAAAAGAGGTTTAGGCAGGGTACAGTGGCTCATGCCTGTAATCCCAGCAATTTGGGAGGCTGAGGTGGGTGGATCACTGGAGGTCAGGTGTTCAAGATCAGCCTGACCAACATGGTGAAACCCCATCTCTACTGAAAATGCAAAGATTAGCCAAGTGTGGTGGTTGGCGCCTGTAATCCCAGCTACTCGGGAGGCTGAGACAGGACAATCACTTAAACCCGGGAGGTGGAGGTTGTAGTGAGCTGAGATCATGCCATTGCACTCCAGCCTGGGCAACAGAGCAAGACTCTTTTTAAAAAATAAAAATAGGCCTGGCGCGGTGGCTCATGCCTGTAGTCCCAGCACTTTGGGAGGCCGAGGCGGGTGGATCACGAGGTCAAGAGATCAAGACCATCCTGGTCAACATGGTGAAACCCCGTCTCTACTAAAAAACTACAAAAAATTAGCTGCGCATGGTGGTGCGTGCCTGTAATCCCAGCGACTCAGGAGGCTGAGGTAGGAGAATTGCCTGAACCCAGGAGGCGGAGGTTGCAGTGAGCCGAGATCGTGCCATTGCACTCCAGCCTGGGTAACAAGAGCGAAACTCCATCTCAAAAAAAAAAAAATTAATTAAAAATAAATTAAAAAAGAGGTTTCATTGGTTCAGAGTTCGGCACGCTGTGCAAGCATGGCTCCAGCATCTGCTCCTGGTGAGGTCCTCAGGAAGCTTCCAATCACAGCAGAAGAAAAGGGGGAGCAGGGATGTCACATGGTGATAGCAGGAGCGAGAGAGTAAGGGGGGAGATGCCACACACCTTTGAACAACCAGATTGCACATAAACTTACTCATCTCCAAGGGGATGGTGCTGAGCCATTCATGAAGGATCCGCCTCCAAGACCCAAGCACCTCCCACCAGGCTTCAACTCCAACACCAGGGATGAAATTTCGACATGAGATTGTGGAGGGGACAAATATCCAAACTGTATCACCACATTTTGTGTTTTGATTTTTTGTCACGCAGACTGGAGTACAGTGCTAGGATAATAGTTTATGGCAGCCCTGAACTGGGTTCAAGCAAATGTGTAATAACGTGTATCCACCACTCACCCAGAGTAATTTCACTACCTGAAAAATTCTCTGTGCATTTCTCCCCACTCCGAGCCCCTGCCAACCAAAGATATTTTTACTGTCTCCACAGTTTTGCCTTTTCCAGAATGTAACATAGTTGGAATCAGACAGTATGTAACTTTTTCAGATTGGCTTCTCTCACTTAGTAATGCATTTAAGGTTTCTCCACGCCTTTTCATGGCTTAACAGCACATTTCTTTCTAGTGCTGAATACAGTCCATTGTCTGGATATGCCATAGTATTTATCCATTCACCTGCTGAAGGACATCTTGGTTGCTTTCAAGCTTTGGCAATTACAAATAAAGCTGCTGTAAACATCCATGTGCAGGTTTCTGTGTGGACATAAGTTTTCAGCTCATTTGGGTAAACACTAAGGCATGCAATGGCTGGATCTTATGACAGGAGTATGTTTAGTTTTGTAAGAAAGCCAAATTGTCTTCCAAAGTTGCTGTACCATTTTGCATTCCTACCAGTAAAAAGAGTTCCTGTTGCTTCACCTCCTCACCAGCATTTGGTGTTGTCACCCTTGCCCATTTTTTAATTTGGCTATTTGTCTTTTCACTATTGAGTTGTAAGAGTTTTATATCTCCTAGATACAAGTCTCTTATGGAACATGTGATTTGCAAAAATTTTCTCCCAGTTTGCGGATTGTTTTAGAAGTCTTTTCTACTATTTCCTTTTTTTTTTTTTTTTTTTTGAGACAGGGTCTCACTCTGTCGCCCAGACTGGAGTGCAGTGGCGCAGTCTCAGCTCACTGCAATCTCCACCTCCCAGGCTCAAGTGATTCTCCTGCCTCAGCCTCCCTAGTAGGTGGGATTACAGGTGCGCGCCACCACGCCCAGCTAATTTTTGTATTTTTAGTAGAGATGAGGTTTCACCATGCTGGCCACACTGGACTGGAACTCCTGAGCTCAGGTGATCCACCCGCCTTGGCCTCCCAAAATGCTGGGATTACAGGTGTGAGCCACTGCGTCCCTTTTTTTTTTTTTTTTTTTTTTTTTCAGTGAAAAGGAATGTTAAACACAATGAATTTATTATGATAGTGGGTACTTCTGAAGGAGGCAGGCGCATACAGGTGTTAGAATCACACAGAAAAATATCATGGTATAGGTGTTGTGAGAGTCAGAAAACCGACTTTTAGTCTTTTTGTGCCTCAGTTTTCTCATCTATAAAATGGGTATATCGGCTGGGCACAGTGGCTCACACCTGTAATCCCAGCCCTTTGCTAGGCTGAGGCGGGCATATCACTTGAGGTCACCCTTTTCTACTAAAACACAAACTACCTCTACTAGAGGTCACCTGTCTCTACTAAAATACAAAAATTAGCGGGGCACGATGGTGCGCACCTGTAATCCCAGCGATTCAGGAGGCTGAGGCCGGAAAATCGCTTGAACCTGGGAGGCGGATGTTGCAGTGAGCCGAGATGGCGCCATTGCACTCCAGCCTGAGCAACAGAGCAAGACTATCTCAAAAAAATAAATAAAATGAAAAGAGTATATCAACACTTATCTAACTGGTTGTTGGGAGGCTTAGACAAGTTAATGTACCTAAAGAACTAGAGAATACTGGCCACTAAGGACATCTAAGGACGCTTTATGTAAACCTTTACTGTTACAGCTTCTTAAGTTGGTACTGAGGTTCGAAAGCTTCCATTTTACCATTATGCTTTTAAATTTACATATGTTACATGCTTTCTTTTGTATAGCTCACTTGAGTAAAGTACATCTGGTTTTTTAACCCTTCAAAATGGGAAAGTTTGGACTAGATGGAGGGTAAGCTCAGCCCTGGCCCCTGGCCCCTTCCCCAATACTCACAGACTCCTGTCAATTGCACCTTCAGAAAAAAACCGAGACTCTTAGGCAGGAGTCAGGCGGGGGGGGTGGGGGTGGCGGTTGGGGTTGGGGGGATCTGTCCCGTGACCTGGACTCTGGGCCACCTCAGTTTCCTCACCTGTCAAACGGGGACTCTGGCGGTACCCACCTGACCTGTGAGAGCGGAGAACACGAAGGTATCTTGCCCACGGTCTGCCCTGTGGTTAGCCGTCCTTTTTTCCTTTACACTTCTAGGCTCCTCTTGATGTTTACATAACCTCAGTGGGAAAACGCCGGCGAAGAGACACCCAGAATGGACGCTCTAAGGTTCCTTCCAGCTTCCAAATTCTGGACTGGTTTTCAGCGATCCAGGGCTCGGGATGCGAATGTCCCTGCCCACGATGGGGCTGTCGTTACAGCCTTCCTCCCGGGGCTCTGGAGACGCGCCAGCGTTTTAACGCCTCTTCGGCGCTAAGGAAGAGTTGGCTTACAGAAAAATAAGTATATCCTGGCCCTGGGGAAGGTCGCCAGGCGACAGGGCCAGCGCCACTGCAGCCCAGGCGCCATTGTCTGGCTCCGCCGCCACCTCGGGTGCCCGCCTCGAGGAGGTTCTTCGAGGCCTGTGCGCCCACGGACGCTACCAGGACGCGCGGTAGGAAGCCGGACACCCGGACGCCGAGGGAAGCCCCGCAGCCGCTCCGCTTACCCAGCGCCAGCGCCAGACCCAGCAACCACCTTGCGGCGGCGCCGGCACGTCAGAGCGACAGCTGGGCGGCCCAATGGCCAAGCGGGGCTTCTGTAAATGAGCTTGCGCAGCCCCATCACCCGCCCACCTAGGAGAGATGCTTCCTAGCCAATCGGAGAGCCTTAGAGTCATCCTCCCGCCCACCCAGCACAGAGGCGGGACGTCTCTCCTTAGCCAAAGAGAAGAGACTTTCGCCCTCCGGCCGCCCGCGCTGCTCGCGAAGGGGTGGAGTTGTGGAGTGGCTGTTTTGGCAAGATGGCGGGGATCGGCGTCCGCCGAGCTGCGACTGCTGCCGGCACCTCTGTGAAGCCCATTTTCAGTCGGGACATGAACGAGGCCAAGCGGAGAGTGCGCGAGCTCTACCGCGCCTGGTATCGGGAGGTGCCGCACACTGGTGAGAGGTAGCGGCGCACGTGGGGATCCGGAGGCCGCCGCTCAAGGTCGTAGCCACCCGGACCGGGATTTCTCACGGGCCGACCTCAGGAGAAGCGACTGCGGGTGCTTTAGGGGAAGAGGGTCACCCGAGCCTGCCTTGGGCCGGACCCGGCATCCGTACGGCGCCTTCGGAGCTTTGATTTCTTTTGTGCCCCGTAGATGTTACCGAGCCGCTGGGCGGGAGGACGAGGACTGTCAGTGACACAGTTATTTTGTAGGTGAGGCAGCGGAGGCACGGAGAGGCGAAGTGGTGTGCCCTGGGCCCAAACCGAGCCACTGGTGTACCTGGAACCCCAAGTCTAGAGCTGCAGAGTATGATTACAGATGCCCGTTAGATTTTTTGTTTGTTTGTTTGAAACTGAGTCTCACTCTGTCGCCGAGACTGGAGCGCAGTGGCACGATCTCGGCTCACTGCAGCCTCCACCTCCTGAGTTCAAGAGATTATCCTGCTTCAGCCTCTCGAGTATCTGGGACTACAGGCATGTGCCAGCACACCGGGCTAATTTTTGTATTTTTAGTAGAGACGGGGTTTCATCGTGTTGGCCAGCCTGGTCTCGAACTCCTGACCTCAGGTGATCTGCCCGCCTTGGCCTCCCAAAATGCTGGGATTACAGACCTGAGCCACCTTACCCGTCACCGTTAGGTTTTATAAGCAAAGTGGCCATAGGATCTCAGCGGTCATTCATTTCCCACTCCCCTCACAGAAAAATGAACTGAACCACAGAAGGGAGGTGACTTTTACAAGAGTCCCTTTTCCAGTCCCTCCAGCTGAAATGGCCTCACTTCCCTCCAGTTTCCCAAACCTTGCTCCCAAACTCTACCTGCCTCTAGTATTCCTTGAATTCTTCCTTCTCCCCGCTGCTGGCCTGCTCCCTGCTAACCCCTCCCTCAGGTGGCAGAACCCGTCCGTTAGTCTGAAGCATTTGTGTATAGGCTCCCAGAGTGCAGAAGCTGTTTTCCTACCTCGGTATCCCTCTCAGTGCTGCCCACTGTACTGGATGAAAGAAGGGTTGGGGAAAATTCCGTCTAAACTGTCAAGGGTAGTACAAATGTCAAGGACTGTCAATATTTTGTTATTTTCTTTATTTGACTTGATGTTTGTTATTGTTGTTTTTCATTTGTTTTTTGAGACTGAGTCTTGCTTTTGTCCAGGCTGGAGTGCAGTGGCACTATCTTGGCTCACTGCAACCTCCGCCTTCTGGGTTCATGCAATTCTCCTGCCTCAGACTCCCGAGTAGCTTGGGACTACAGGCGCTCGCCACCATGGCCAGCTCATTTTTTTTTAAAGATGGGGTTTCACCATGATGGCCAGGCTGGTCTTGAACTCCTGACCTCAGGTAATCCACCCACCTCGGTCTCCCAAAGTGCTAGGATTACAGGTGTGAGCCACCTCGCCCAGCCTAAAACCTAATTTTCAAAAGACATCCTTACGCCTCATCCAAAGTTCCAGGTCACTGCGTCTTTGCCATTATTTTAGGAGCTTAATCAGGGGTTGTTGAATATTATGATTTTATGGTTATTGTCCTAGCTGGCTGTCTCTCCAGTCAGAATGTAACAACTAGACAAGTGGACCTACATCATCAACTTTGCTTCCACCAAGTAACCTAAGATGGTATTAACTGCTTGTTGGATTGAAGCCTCCCTGACCTGTGTAACCCCCTAGCAGTTCTCCCTCAACGCAAAGTTTGTATAGTAATTAATAGCCTAGGCCACATCATTTTACATTATCAATTTCAATCCTGTTTTCTTTTGCTGATTGTTCCATATAAAAATAATGCTACTACAAAAATTAGCTGGGTGTGGTGGCACGCACCTATGGTCCCAGCTACTCGGGAGGCTGAGGCAGGAGAATTGCTTGAACCCAAGAGGCAGAGACTGCAGTGAGCAGGGATGGAGCCACTGCACTCCAGCCTGATGACAGAGCAAGACTCTGTCTCACTAAAAAAAAGCTTATGTCTATTGAGAGCTTATGCCATGTTAGGCATTATTGTGAGCATTTTGCATTGTCTCATGAAATCTCCATCAGAGTTATATGTGCTGTTATTGTCTTCATTTCATTGATAAATACACTCAGCCAGGCACAATGGCTCACACATGTAATCCTAGCAACTTCCTGGGGGGCTGAGAGACAGGAGCATCATGGGAGCCCAGGAGTTCAAGGCTGAAGGGAGCTCTGATCATACCACTGCATTCCAGCCTTGGCAACAGAGCAAGACCCTGTCTCTTACAAAAAAATTAAAAAAAAAAAAAAAACACTCAGGCACAAGAAAGTTAACTTACAGAGGATCATACAGCTAACAGAGCTGGGATTTGAATCCAGGTTGTGCAAACTTTTGAACAATGCTTTACTGCCTCTTCCCAAAAATTCCGTGGTCTTTCTCCCCAAACAAAATAATAAATTCCTTGAGAGCAAATGCCATGAATCACAGGTCACCTAGCCTAGGGTCAGGCTAATTTTTAGTGAAGGAATGGTGGGCGACCTGTATGTGTTCAATGAATATCCGTTGACTCTAGGTTTTAAAAACATGTTTTAGCCGTACAATTTCTACCCTGAATCATGTTTTTCTCTCTAGTGCACCAATTCCAGCTGGACATCACTGTGAAACAGGGACGAGATAAAGTCAGAGAAATGTTTATGAAGAATGCCCACGTCACAGACCCCAGAGTGGTTGATCTTCTGGTCATTAAGGTAACTGACCCTCCCTGACCAATTTAAAAGATCAGCCAACTAGTCCACAAAACTAGTCTTTCCAAATGAGCATTTTGTCTCCAAGTTTAGAAAGCAATTACTGGTTCAGCAGTGACTATTGCTGTTTTAGAGAAATAGTTGAACTTGGAGATTATCACCTGGTTAAATAGATAAAGATTGATTAAGGGAATATCCACTGGGGCTTGCATTTTATAACCAAAAAAAGACATAGGGAGGAAAGTTTGAGCTATTTTTGAAACTCATCCCTGGAAGTTACCACTTCCTCTGGATGCCAGCTTACATCTGGAGGAGGCAGTTGGCTGGTTATGCATCCTGTATAAATTGGGTCAAATCCTGGGGCTGATTCTGTCCCCCTGGCCAGTCACATTAGCATCAATAGGAGCTTCCACATGAACCAGTCGGTAACAGAAGAAATGATATGCAGAAGCATAAGTTAAGCCAGTCAGGTTAGGTAGTCATGGGATAGGAGCCTGTTAACCTATAAGTTTCTCCTCTTGGTACCAGTTAACCACAGAGTTAAAGAATCTTTGAAAGGTCTCAGAAAGAATTTAGCCCAACCACCTCATTGACCAGACATAGGAACTTTGCCCAGACAGAGTAGTTACTTGCCCAAGGTCACTCAAGTCCATGCTGAACAGAGAATAGAATCCTGGCCTTCAGTGTCATACGCCTTCAACTTGACCACTTTGACTGATGACCTCTTTCCTCACTCTTCAGGGAAAGATGGAACTGGAAGAAACAATTAACGTATGGAAGCAGCGGACACACATCATGCGGTTCTTCCATGAAACAGAAGAGCCAAGGCCAAAGGATTTCTTATCCAAGTTCTATGTTGGCCATGACCCATGAAGTCACGCAGTGGAAAGATGCATGTTCATGTTATTTTAGAGAACAAATAAACTCACTATACGATGGTCACTTCGTGATAGACTGCCATTGATGAACCAATTTTCTGCAGCCTCTTTTTGCCTGAGCAAGCGGGGCCTTGGTATACACACCACCTGTTCTTTCCCTTTTCTTGAAATGTGGTGTTTGCTGTAAATTGGATTGAATTCTTTTTCTCAGAGCCTTGCATGTCAGTAAACAGGAAGGAAGGAGGCCATCTGTTCAAAAACTGTCACACTGGGTGTAAGGCTGGATGACTTGTTAATGTAGTTGTTTCTACAGCCCCTATGATTAGACACCTCAGTGTCAGGCCACAGATGATCCAAAATTAGCCAGCTTTTGCTGTCAGAGAGGGATGAGAGCAGCACCAGCAGGTGCAAAACTAGAGCTGACAAGATGGGCTAGTTTTCCCTGGGTTCTGAAGAAAATGGATGTGCAAAGGCCTGGCTCCACTACTTGTAACAAGCTCCAGCCGTTAAAATGAACTTAACTTCCTACTCAGGCACCCTGCTAGGTGCACAGCTGTTCAATATACATAGGGAGAATAGAAATATTCCTACTGTCTTTGTAAACTCTGGGGTACCTCTTAGTGGCAGGAGAATAAACAACATCAACCCCGGTTCAAGAACTGATCTCTGTTTGTTTGGATGATGGTCTTGTCTCGTCCTTCCCAGGGCAATCCAAATGATGGAGAAGGGGGTTTGGTATCTATAGGTGTGACACTGAGGATTCCTATACTTTTTTTTTGGTAGAGATGGGGTCTTTCCATTGCCCAGGCATTTTTTTTTAAGACCCAGAAACTTTACATACATATTTTTTTTTTTTCTTTTTTTTTCCAAGAGATGAGTTTCTCCATGTTGGCCAGGCTGGTCTCAAACTCCTGACCTCAGGTGATCTGCCCACCTCAGCCTCCCAAAGTTCTGGGATTACAGGTGTGAGCCACCGCGCCCGGCCTTTTTTCTTTTTTTTGAGACAGAGTTTCACTCTTGTTGCCCAGGCTGGAGTACAGTGGTGCAATCTTGGCTCACTGCACCCTCCACCTCCCAGTTCAAGCAATTCTCCCTGCCTCAGCCTCTCAAGTAGCTGGAATTACGGGAGTGTACAACCACATCTAGCTAGTTTTATATTTTTAGTAAAGTTGGGGTTTCACTACGTTGGCCAGGCTAGTCTTGATCTCTTGACCTCAAGCGATCCACCTGCCCTGGCCTCCCAAAGTGCTGGCATGAGCCACCGCACTCACACTGGTCTTGAACTCCTGGGCTCAAGTGATCCTCCTGCCTCAGCCTCCCAAAGTGTTGAGATTACAGGCATTAGCCATTGTACATGGTTCCAAAACTTATGACATTAGGGATCCCTTTATAATCTTTTTACCTAAGCAACTTGAGGAAAAAAATGTTTTTGTGTTCTCTCACTGAACAACAATAATCACATAAGACTCCTGTGATTAGGCCAGGCACAGTGGCTCACGCCTGAAATCCCAACACTTTGAGAGGCAGAGGCAGGTAGATCACCTGAGGTCAGGAGTTCAAGACCAGCCTGACCAACACAGAGAAACCCTGTCTCTACTAAAAATACAAAATTAGGCCGGGCACGGTGGCTCAAGCCTGTAATCCCAGCACTTTGGGAGGCCAAGGCGGGTGGATCACGAGGTCAAGAGATCGAGACCATCCTGGTCAACACGGTGAAACCCCGTCTCTACTAAAAAAAATACAAAAAATTAGCTGGGCATGGTGGCGTGTGCCTGTAATCCCAGCTACTCAGGAGGCTGAGGCAGGAGAATTGCCTGAACCCAGGAGGCGGAGGTTGCGGTGAGCCGAGATCGTGCCATTGCACTCCAGCCTGGGTAACAACAGCGAAACTCCGTCTCAAAAAAAAAAAAAAAAAAAAAATACAAAATTAGTTGGGTGTGGAGGTGCACGCCTGTAATCCCAGCTACTTGGGAGGCAGAGGTTTGGGTGAGCCAAGATTATACCATTGCACTCCAGCCTGGGCAACAAAAGTGAAATGCTATCTCAAAAAAAAAAAAAAAAAAAAAAAAGACTTCTGTGGTCAAACATGAGGGTTTCTCCCCACACTAAGCAAGTAGTTGTCCAGCAGACACCAGCTGGCTGTCCTCCAATTCACTTCCAACACTATCTACCTGGAGATAGCATCGGATCCCACAGGTTTGGGGCTCAGCCCCACAAGACTGCTTCCACTTTCTTTAGACAACATTCTCAAGTCCAAGCCTTCAGAACTTCTGACCAGCTTCAAGTTGAGGTTCCCATGACCCCCTTTTTAATTTGCTAGAGCAGCTCGCAGAACTCAGGAAAATACTTAGGTAGGTTTACTGGTTCATTATAAAGGATATCACAAAAGATATAGACGAAGGGATGCATAGAGTGAAGTATGGAGGAAGGGGCATGGAGCTTCCATGTCCTCTCCAGGTATGCCTCTTTGATAAACCAAGTGTTCTGCTCTCCAGAAGCTCTCTGAACCTGTCCTTTCGGGCCTTTTATGGAGACCTTATTGGATAGGCATGATTGAAGCATGGACAACAGTGAAGAAGTCGGATTGGCAAAAGAGGCATGATCTAATACAGAGTGGGGAAGTCCAACAAGGCCTGTCCACATTTCTTCCTCCCAGGTATGGGGCAGAGTCCCTTCTGAAATGGGGGAGACAGGGTAGGTCGGAGAATTCTTTTTATGACCAACTCGAAGACAGAAAGGCAAAGGAAGTTTATATAAACTAAAGTTACACTTTTAGTTTCTAGGCCAGCCTTGGGAAGAAAAAGCAGCAGGTGAAAGGAGGTCAGAAGGTCCAAGAAAGAGAACTGCTGTTTTCTGAGGCCTGAAGTGCCCAACGTTGTAACAAAGGCCTATAACAAGGGCTTTGGGAGATGGTTATAAGCCAGGAAATAGATGAAAACCTACATATATCCTAATATCACAGAACCCAAGTTTTGAATCATTCTAGTCATATTTAAGTAGTTGTATGATAACAAGCAAAGCTCTCATGACTGGCAGTGAACACAGAATGGCTTGAGGCTTTAGTAGCCCATTAGCTTTCTTAAGGGAAAACGGACAGTTTCTGCTGGGCTTTTGTAAACAATGAAAATAGTTCCCAGGCCTCCAGAATAGTTCACCAGGCTCCACTGAAACCTGGATAATCTAGGCCTATGTTTCTCTCATAAAACGACAGCAGAGAGAACCGCACCAACTAGAGCCTACACACACTGAGAAACTGCAGCCATTATTCAGTCACAAACAGCTGGCATTTATTATGTTTATTCATAATGTGATTGCTTGTTAGTCCAGTGCTTAGTGGACAGCACATCTCAGGGAGCCTTCCAGAGCCTGGGGATCTGGGATACAGTCATGGACCACAGAGGCAGCTTCACCAGACTGGGAGGTTGAGGGCTTTCCCTGAGTCCTGCTGATAGGGAAGGCAGAGAGGCTGAGAACATCACCATTTCTTCAGTTAGTGCTTTCTGCTTTCTGTAATTCCTGGAAGAAAGGAAAGCAGCAGTGAACTGGGCAACAGAGCAGTCTTCCATTCACACACTGAAAGAATTCCACAAAGTGCTTTTATCAAACACGGCAGGAGAAGGGCCACTTTGAGCACATTTGATTATTTATGCATACATTAAATGGGCATTCAACATGGGCCAGGCACTGGGGGCCCAAAAGTATAAAAAACATCCCCTGCCAGCAAAAAGCTCAGAGTGGAGTAAAATTTTGGTTTGTGTGTGTTTACACACACAATACTGAGTGTTTGAAGAGGTACTGGTTGCTCAGAGGAAGGAGCAGTCACTTTCAAATGAAAGGAAGGAAGACTTCAAAGACACTGAAGGATGGGTAGAATTAAGACCCAAAGAGCCTCTGGGAAAGAGCCTTCCATGTGGGAGGAACAATGAGCCAATATTTGGGGATGGGTATGAGTGTGCAAACTCAAGAAATGGTGAACACTGGGGATCGGTGGGTGGCTGGAAATATGGAAGATGAGACTGAATAAGAGGCATGACCAAATCATGGCAAACCTTGAATGCCAGGTAAGGAGTCAGGAGTGTCCTCATCTCTGACAGTGATGCCATGCAGCACATAGAGAGCACAGGAAGTCAACACAGGAAGCTGAATGGGAAGGACTGGGAGTGCTAGGGGAGGAGTCTGTGAGCAACGCATGAACCAGGCTGTGGTGCCCACGGACAGGATGTAGTGGTGAGAGCTTGGTAACGAGAGCTGACGGGGAAGGACTTGCAGTTTCTACATTTCCATACAGAGCTGCTGAAATGATGCTGCTGGTGGTATGTGTGTAAGGCATATTAAATTGTCAAGAAAATGGGTGGGTTGATTGAATGAGGATACATCAAGGGCAACTGAAAAGGCTGGCTAGGATCCCAACCTAGTTGGAAGAGACCCCAGTGAATGTGTAAGTCAGTAAGTTGCCCTCATCCAATAAAGGGAAAAAGCAAAATAAAAACATTAGCCACCAAGTGGGTCAATTCATTAAAGCTTCTGCCCCCAATGTCCAAATGCTGCTACCAGGCCAGACTGCATCACAGACAGATGCTCCACCCTGCTTCCTGGTCCATCTAAGGTAAAGCAAGTCTTACTTGTTAGTCGTCATCATCATCATCCTCTGGAACAAAAATGTCATGTTCCTCAAGTAGAGCAGCAAAGTTCTTGCTAATGAGCGTCCCAACATAGAGAAAGGGGATCACGATGGAAAACACACGGAGAAGGCCGAAGGACATCTGCAGAGGGTCAGAGTGGCGGCTGTGAGCTCCAGAGCCGCCTCTGGCAAGACCAAAGAAGACCTGGCCCTCTCATGGACATTCCCTCCTGTGGAACTCAGACCCATCATAAGCAACTTGATTTTTAAATCTTTGGAAAAATTCAGGGCAAGAAAAGGAACTAGAAAAGGAGAGGGCCAGGCGGGGTGTATCAGGCCTGTAATCCTAGCACTTTGGGAGGCCGAGGTGGGTGGATCACCTAAGGTCAGGAGCTCGAGAACAGCTGGGATAATATGGAGAAACCCCATCTCTACTAAAAATATAAAAAAATTAGCTCGGCGTGGTGGTGCAAGCTTGTAATCCCAGCTACTTGGGAGGCTTAGGCAGGAGAATTGCTTGAACCTGGGAGGCAGAGGTTGCAGTGAGGCAAGATTGTACCATTGCACGCCAGCCTAGACAACAGAGTAAGACTCTGTCTAAAGAAAAAGAAAAAACAAAAGGAGATAAGGTGACTGTCATGGCCATCAAAGTGGATGAAAAGTCCACTGGAAAGAAAAGTCTAAGGCACCCTAGACATCTAAAGTTAGGACACAGCCTGCTAATTACTTTAAATCTCCACAGGCAGACGGGTGCGCCGGTACTAGGAGGGCTGGACTGTGGTGAGCTCTACTTGAACACATGAAATACACAAAAACCTATGACAGAAAGATGTACAGTGAAGGAAGGCTGGGCACGGGGGCTCACACCTATAATCTCAGCACTTTGGCAGGCCAAGGGGGGGCGGATCATCTGAGGTCAGGAGTTCGAAACCAGCCTGACATGAAGAAACCCCAAATACAAAATTAGCTGGGCGGGGTGGCGCATGCCTGTAAACCCAGCTACTCGGAAGGCTGAGGCAGGAGAATTGCTTGCACCTGGGAGGCAGAGGCTTCAGTTAGCCAAGATCACACCATTGCACTACAGTCTGGGTAACCAGAGTGAAACTCTGTTTAAAAAAAAAAAAAGATGTACAGTGAAGGGATATTCTATACAGTTCATTAAGTAACAGGTTCCCTGATGCCTGAGAAATTTGATTTAAGCACATTAAATTTTAGAAACTAATGTGTGTGAAAGGGGGCATGTATTTACACTAAAAGACTATTTAGATAGATTGGGAAAGTGTGAGTAAAATCTGAGCAACATTTCCTCTTGTATTCCTGGAGTTTAAAAAAATGTCACTGTGCCTTCTGATAAGGCAGCTCTTTCCCAAAGTGGACCTTGCAGTCAATTGTGTGTTAGCACAGGATAGACTAGTTTTAAGACAATTTGTTTTTTAACTCCCATACCACACAGCCCTGCAGTCATAAAGCAAACTTTTGTTTGCTATAAGGGACTGTTTCCGTTTTCCCTAGAAAAACTCAAGGGCATGTGATAGCGTTCAGTAGTGGAAAAAGATAGGACCTGGCAGGGACAGTATCAGCAAGAAACCGGGACGCTGCGGCCTCAGCGCAAGCCTTGGATATTGGCTTCACAGCTCTAGCCCGATTCTTCATTTGGAAAAACCGTGATTGTAACAATTCCCTGCACATCTATCAGGACTGTAAATCACATGAATTAAATACTAGATGACAACTCATAAAAAGATAAGGGCTGTCCCACGTACCCCTTGTTTACAGAGTCCTTTCACAATTCATATTTCATCCCATAAACTAGGAGACAGGCAGGGCAGAGATTACAAGACTAAACCAGATTACAGGGAGGGCTGAGATTACAGGATTTAGATTACAGTCTAAACTAGATGCACAGGGCCAAGTTTTCTGACTCCAGAGGAGCACCGCACCGTACCTCTCAGGATAATCTAATGTAAAAGGTCATCTTCCTCAGCGTTTGCCCCCATCTTCTGTCTACCTACCATTTTCTACCCACCTGTCAAAATTAGCAACTCATTAGCGCATTTATTTTCGGCCCGCCTTCCACTCTAAGGCAATCGTTATGATTGGCCTTGGCCCCAGTCAATCAGCGCCGCCCGCACGCATTCCCCACAATGATTGGCCTCAGCCCCTTCGCCCCATCTCCAGGAAGACACTCACTTTGACTGGTTTGGGCAAAATGGCGCCGCTGCGGGTAACGATGACTGACCTCGACGGTACCAGGCTCCGGCCTGGGTCGCTCCGTGCCGCGGCGACATCGCCACCTTTCCTCAAGCTAGGCCCTTTCCGGAGAACCCCGGACCTGACGGCTGCCAACGCTAGCCAGCGAGCCGCTCCGGACGCCATCCCGCAGCTCCGCCCCTCGCCCGGGCACACGGACCCCACCGCCCGGCCCCGGTGCCGCCCTCGGGAAGAACGCCGCTTGAAGCCTCGCGAGACTTTGAGGAGCACACGCGAAGCCCACTCAACCCGCGTAGTGCCGGCGCCTCCTGGGGCGGCCAGAGGGAGGTGTTTGTCACCGGCCTACGTGGTGACGTTACGAGAGCGGCGCAGCCGCCCAGCTGCGTCTGTTCGCGTCCTGCTGGGCAGGGCCGCAGTCCAGGTCCCCGCACCTGCGACCGCCCGGCCGCCAGAGCAGGCCTCAGCGGCTGCGGAAAAAATCCTAGGGAGCCGAATGAGTAACACTGAAAAAGCTTTACTAGTGTTTTAACCGCGTACCAAGCACTGTAGCAATAAGAAGGAAAGGCCCGTGCGATCTGTGTACAAAACAACGTGCAGTGGCTGCGGGGCTCCCAGGCAGGGCTGGGGAACGGGCCGGGCGCCCACCGTGGGTGCATCTCAGGCTCCTGGGGGTAAGAGGCTGTGAGCCTCCGCCTAAGGCCTAGTTGGGTGCCGGTCGGTCCTGCCCGAGGCCTCAGTGAGGGTAGCGGAGGCTAGGGACGGCAGGTTGTCTGTGTGTGGGAGGGGGTGTCTCCTCTGGGGCTCTGCGTCTTCCGCCCAGCCTCTGCCATCGCACCCCTAAGGCGTCAGTCTGGTCAGGCTCTGGTGACCCAGCACTTTGCTTCCCAGAACAATAGAAAAAACACGTTCGGGCCGATGCAGTGGCTCATGCCTATAATCCTAGCACTTTGGAAAGCCGAGATGGGTGGATCACCTGAGGTCAGGAGTTCGAGACCAGCCTGGCCAACAAGGCGAAACCCCAGTATCTACTAAAAATACGAAAATTAGCCAGGCGTAGTGGTGGGCGCCTGTAATCCCAGCTACTCGGGAGGCTGAGACAGGAGAATCGCTCGAACCCGGGAGGCGGAGGTTGCGGTGAACCGAGATCACCCCCATTATACTCCAACCTGGGCGGCAGAACGAAACTGTCTCCAAAAAAAAAAAAAGAAAAAACAGGCTGGATGCTGGGAATAGTAGCAAGGAGGGGTCCTGGCAAGCACATGCTAGGTGAAAAACAGGGCTATGAGAGTTCCCAGGTGGTTTCTTGAGCAGCTTCACTTGCAAGAACACTTTTACCAGAGCCCAGCCAGGAGAGAGATAGCACAGGAAACGGAATCCCGTGTCCAAGCTCCTGGAATGCCCAGGACTGAGAGCCAGAGCAACCAGCTTTCTCCAGGAACCACACTGCCTCCCCACCTCTTTAACCCCTCACTTGGCAGCTCCAGGAGTTGGCTGCTGAGGACAGAGTACAGGAGGGCATTTTGCTGACATAAAAAGCTACTAGCCCTTCTGGGGCAAGGTCCAGCACCATCTGTTAACAGGGCAGCCAGAGAGAAAGGATGGGGCCCCAAATTCTTAGCAGAATAAATCTCTCTTCACTGGCCAAAGACTCGCTGCCTCAAAGGGCCCTACCCAAATTGCTGAGTGAGGATTCCGTCCCCAGTCTTCTCACCCTTCTCAGGAAGAGCTGAGTCCCAGAAACTCATATGACATGGTAAACCCACTTTCTCTGACAATGTCAGAGTCTCAAGCCAATACTGCAGCCAGCCTCGGATTTAAATGCACATGAGACTCCCCAGGTTGGAATCTGAGTCTGGCGTGTAAGTCAAAGGTAGGGCAAGCCTGTGACACTCTCAGGTGACATTGCCCACTTCCTCCATTTCATTAATATCCCCTGGGAGGGGGCAGTCAGGCCAGTGCAGTCAGGAGTTTGGGCCGGGCGCAGTGCCAGCTGATCAAGCCCCTTTCCTCTCTGGGCCTCCGGAAATAAAAAGGATGGAAGGAATGGTCCCTCAGTCCCTTCCAGACACACGGGTGGATCTGGAACCTGGAGAATACCTAAATAGCAGGAAGGAGAGAACCCATGTCACCTCCCAAAATGCAACCTTGGAAATGGGCAAACATTTAACTCCTGAAAAAGAACTGGCCCTGGTTTCCTGAACCACAGTACCCAAGCTTAGGGCTTATCCTGTTCCTCACATTCTGGCTGGCTCCCCTGGGCCCTCTGCTGCCAGTGCTGCTGCAGCTTCATGATCTCCTGGCCATACCAGTCATGCAGGGTAGAGAAATCGGAGGTCTCAGGGGACACGGGACTCTGCCCCCTGCCTAGGAGGAGGCTGGCAGGGCCCTGTAGCTCCCGCTCAGCCAACCCCAGTCCTGCAGACCTGCTGCCCGCTTCTTCAACCAAGCCCACAGGCCTGCAGTCCTTGGAGAGGGGGTGGCCATTCTCCAGGACCACAGACCGGTTGTTACGAGCCTGGGGCTTACAGCGGCTGGCAGCAGGCTTCCAGGATGAGTGGTGTTGCAAAGCCAGGCTCTGGCGTGCGTCCTGCAACTGGCTCTCCAACTCTCGTACCACCAGGCGCATGTAGCCAAAGCTTGCCCGGGACAGCGCCTTCACCCAGGCCTCCTGGGCTGCAGGCCCTTCTGCAGCAAGCAGGTGTGGGTGCACTCCGGGGGCATCAAAGCATATGGCAAAGGCAAACTCCTCGGGCACGGGAGCCTCGGCCAGTTCCACTGTGCAGCCTTCCAACACCACCAGGCTCAGTGGGGCCCGGCCCTTGCGACTCTCAAAGGAAAACAGCAGGTTGCCCTTGAGGACAAACCAGCATCTTCGGCCAGTGCCACTGGGGGTTGGTGGGGTCCCTGGGCTCCCCCAGGTGCGCAGGAAGCCCATGTGGTCTGCTGGGGAGTCGCTGAGTGCATAGTGAGCCACACTTCTCTCGTTCAGCTTCATGGCTCCCACGGGAACTGTGGGGCGAGAGAAGTGGCAGCGGATCAGAGAGGAAGGTGGCTCCATGGCACCCTGGGGAAAAGCACTGGCTCTGGAGGTGACCTGGGCCCCATCCCTGGGGCTCCTACTCACTTGCCGTGTCAGTGAGACCCCTAATGTCTCCTGAGAGGTAGGCTCATCTTTCCTTCCTTTTCTCTCAAAGGGTTGTTGTGAGGATCATGCAAAAAAAAATCTCAATAGCAGACTTGGAGAAAATAACAAGATTGGATCAGACAGGAGTCATGGCAGGACCTGGGCAAGGCTTTCTAAAATCCAAAGAAACAGGCCCCAACTGAGCTGAAATGGATCACAGACCCATGGAAACCACTGTGCTTAAACTATTCCCTAATCTGGGGTCCTCTCAACTCCAATTCTGAGGCCAAACCTCCAGGGTTCCCATGACCCTCCTGGGCCTGTACTGGCCTCTTATTTGCATATAGCAGTTGAATCTTATTGACCTAAAGGCAGAAGCTGAGGCACAAAATATAACTTTCAAGAGTTTAGTTGAGCCAAAGTGAGGACAACTGCCCAGAACAAACATAAGTTGTAGTGGGGTGTGCTGCGTTGGGCCTTTTTTACAAGCAGCTTCTTATAGGCAGAAGGAGGCAAGGATGACAGAGTTATTTGGCAGGAATTCTCCTTGGTTTACAGAAATAACATTGATTGGCCGGGTGTGGTGGCTCACACCTGTAATCCCGGTACTTTTGAGTGGCTGAGGCAGGTGGATCACCTGAGCTCAGGAGTTCGAGACCAGCCTGGCCAACATGGTGAAACCCCATCTCTACTAAAAATACAAAAACTAGCTGGGCATGGTGGTGAGCACCTAGCTACTCGGGAGGCTGAGGCAGGAGAATCGCTTGCTCCCAGGAGGTGGAGGTTGCAGTGAGCCGAGATTGCGCCATTGCACTCCAGCCTGCTTGACAAGAGTGAAACTCTTTCTCAAAAAAAAAAAAAGAAGAAGAAAGAAAAAGAAATAGCATTGATCGGTGATTGGCTGTACATTGTTGAACTATAGGGTGTCCAGTGTACGGCATTTTATGGCTACTTGGTATCACTCTAGAGCTACGTAGCAAGTGGCTTCAAGAGGTAATTCTTGACCTTTTGTAGCTCATGAGCGTGATGACTGGTGTTCATGTGCATGTGTGAGATGTGCTGCCTTCGAACCTTGTTACCATGTGGGCACATTACTGGTCTGACATAAAAAAGAAAAGAAAAGAAAAAATAAAAAGAGACGATTCTTTAGCTCTAGGGAGGACTAAGACTTGACAGCCGTTTCATTTCAGTATGTCTGGGCCCGATTATTTAAAGGGGCGCTAATTCCACAGATAAAACATTATTTTTCTCTCTCAATCTGCAGTCTTCAGGGACAGATGGGGACCTACTCTGTAAACAAGAATGAGGCACAAACCCAGGGTACAGCTGAGAAGAGCTAACCACAACCACCGAGTGTGGGTGCCCCCAGGATCAATGAATGGCACGTAGTCCAGCTGTCCGTACTCACCGAAAACCAAAGTCCAGCAGTGAGGGGATCTTGCCCAAGATTACATGACCAATGAGACGCAGAGCTTGGTCTCCCAAATCCCTCACACTGTACTCACTTACCAGGAGGGCTCCCTGGGGGAAGGCAGAGACCTCTTGTCTGGCCACACAGCTCAGCCCTTGGACCACCTGGTTCGCAGGGAGCCTGCAAAACAATTCTCAAGCCCAGTCAGCTCATCCCAAAGAATGAGAACTCCTACTCCACCTTCGAGGCCTCCACCAGGAATCCCTCTCTGATCCCTGAGAATCTCCTACCCATCCACCCAGCCAGGAACCCCTGAGCAACTTAAAGGGCTGCGTCCCCTTTGTCTTGTCCTTACTCTTCAGACCTCAGCTCCTTGCCTGAGTCCAGGTCAGAGCTCTATGTGCCCTCATGGTTCCTAGCTTTTCCCTTCTAGTACTTGCTACTCAGTTTCTTTGTGGCTTTAACTGAAGTCACCTAATCTGGGACGCCTTCCACAATCACCATATCTAAGGTGGCCCTGACCACCAAGGTGGCTTGACCTAAGGTCACCTGACCAGTAGACCCCCCCCCATTTCTGGTTTGTTTCCTTCATCCCACAATGGTGTCATTTGTGTTAAAGCACTGCTCCCAGCAGCAGAATGCGTAGGGTGGGGCTCGGCTAGGTTCCCAGGAGAACCCCAATATCCAGCACTGTGCCGGGCTCAGAGAGGCCCTCGGGAGGGATCTGTTGAAGTAATAGGAAGATATCAGGCGGACAAAACAAAGTCTCCCGCCCTCCTGAAGCCTATATTCCCACGGAGGAAACACTGTAGGCACGCCAAATAAATACTAATACATTAATGAGAAAATGGCTGGGCATGGTGGTTCACACCTGTAATCCCGGCACTTTGGGAGGCCAAGGCAGGCGGATCCCGAGGTCAGGAAATCAAGACCATCCTGGCTAAGACGCTAAAACCCTGTCTTTACTAAAAATACAAAAATTAGCCGGTCGTGGTGGTGCATGCCTGTAATCTCAGCTACTCTGGAGGCTGAAGCAGGAGAATCGCTTGAACCCAGGAGGCGGAGGTTGCAGTGGGCCGAGATTGCGCTACTGCACTCCAGCCTGGAAGACAGAGAAAGACTCTATCTCAAAAAGAAAAAAATTAATGAAATAATAATCAGTGAAATAAGAGCTAACATAAGGACCGGTAATGCTGAGGGTTATGAAGGAAAACCAGCCAGGCTCCGGGATGGGGAGAGAGGCCACTCCAGTAGGGGTGGCCCAGGAAGTGGGAGGAGGAGGTCACAGATGTTTGCCAGAGGAGTGGCCTCACTGGTGGTCCTGGGCCCAGCACTGGGGCACATGGAGCGGGTGGGCAGTTCGTGGGGCCGTGCCCCCTCCACTCCCCCGCGCCTGGGCAAGGGCGCTCCCTCCTCTCCACCAGTAGGGGGGCCAGACCCGCCGGCACACCCGGCCTCCCGCCCGCCTCTGCGTCTTCCTGGATTCTTTTGTTGGAGGAGAGGCAGGATGGGGACGCGGGACCGCCGGGCCAGTGACCACTGCGGGGAGCCCCGACCCGACTGTCACCCTGAAACAGGGGTCACCTCAGTCAGGATCTCCCCGGCTGCCGCTTCGGTTTCCGTGTCCTTGCGTCGGGGCCGTTCCCGCCACATCCCCGGGACCACCTCCTCCCGGAGCCCGCCGGGCCCACTCTCACCTCCCACTGCCGATCGCACCGAAGCCCAGGAGAGCGATTCTGGCTTCAGACCCCGCGCCTCCGCCTGGGTCGCAAACGTGGCCGCGGAATCTGGGAGACCCCGCCCGGGAGGCTCGAGTTCCCGCCCTTCCCCGCCCAGTAATCACCAGGCCCAGGATCTGCGAGGTCGCCTAGGGATCCGCAAGGGCGGGAAACTGAGGCCCGAGAGGGTCACAGAGCTGGTTGGTGCCAGCGGCCTCGAACCCGGAGGACCCCCTCAGACGGTCCGCCGGCCTCGGACCCAGCCCACCGTCCGGAAAACTCAGTCTTCCCCTCTGGTCCCCCTCTTCCCCCTCTCCCTGGCCGGCCCACTTCCCCGGCAGATCCAAACTGGGATGGTCTCACTCTGGGCACCTCCTAAGGGCGGGCTCCTACACAGTCCTCGAAGCACGGACAAGCTTTCCTGGCCACCCACCGGGCCACCGGGTCTGCTGATTGCTGCCTCTGGGAATTACCCATTTCTATTTCCCTAGCCTGAAACCCACCAGCAGCCCCCAGGCTCTGCCCTAGTGGGTCCAGGAGGAGGCCTGCGGTGAAGGTCACAGGAATACACAACCAAACCCAAGGGACTGGAGCTTCTGGAAGGCGCTGGAAGCCAGAGGTGTGCTCAAACATCTGCCCATGAACTTGGCTCCCACCTCAGGGCCTTTGCAGCCTAGAATGCTCTCCCTTCCCACCCCGAGCTGCAGCTCCGCTCCTCAGGACCGCTTCCCGTCAGGCATTTGAGTCTTAGCTCAGAGGTCCTCTCCCAGACAGCTGTAAAGCAGCCTGGCCTGCAGTGTGCCCCATCCCTGGGATGTTGTTTTTATCAGAGCACTCACCGCTGGACTAAACGTTCCTACACTCATGCTTTTATTTTCCTGTTTATTGTCTGTCTCCCCTACTAAATTTTATTTAATTAATACTTTAAATCATAATAAATGTATTCGAAGGTAATAACGTGGCATGGAAACAGAGCAGGGTAAGGGAGATGGGAAATTGTAGGAATTGGGAGGTTGCGATTACAGATAGACGGGTCAGGGTGGTAGGCCTCATTGAGAGAGCGACACTGGACACGTGCTTGAAGGAAATGAGGGAGACAGCCATGCCAATATGGGGGGATCATTCCAGGCAAAGGAAACAGTCAGCACGGTGGCCCTGAGGCCTGTTGTGTTTGAGGACCTGCAAGAAAGTCAGTGAGGCTGGGAGGGTGGGAGGGGGTGGGCAGTAGGAGGTGGGGTGAAGGGGTGGGTGGTAAGGTCTCACCGCCATGAATGGCAGGGTCATCTCTGTGGCGGCACGTACACCCCAGATGAGTTCCCAGAAGAAACGATCAACCCCTGCGGCACCTAACTAACCTGAGACCTTCTTCTATTGTTTCGTATTCCGGCCTCAATTGACAAGGCTTTGGATTTTGTAACTGAGCTCGGCCAACCTGGTGACTCCACACCCTGCGACCCTCTCCCAGCTTGCAAACCTACAACCCACTCCCAGCTTGCAGAAAAATGCCCTAAACTTACTTCTGCAACTTTCCACTGTTTACCCCAAACCTATAAAACCAACTTCTATCCCTCCGCCCTTTGCTGACGCCCTTATCTGCCTCAGCCCGCCCACACCCAGGTGAATAAACAGCTGTGTTGCTCACACAAAGCCTGTTTGGGGGTCTCTTCCGTTTTAACATTTGGTACTGAAAACCCAGGACGGGGGTACTCCTGTGGGGAGACCAGCCCCTGTGAAGAGACCTACCTGAGACCTCAACACATCAGACTAGACCAGCCCAGCCCAGCGGCTCGCGCCTTCCGTGCTGAACAGCTCTCTCGCCAGCTTCAGATCAGGTAAGCAGTCTCTCTCTCCCCCTCTTTCTCTCTCTTTTCCTTTAGAGAGAAGGAGACAAGTCTCTCCCTCTTTCTCTCTCTTTTCCTTTACATCTTTCTCCTTCTAGTAAAGACAAAGAGACACTCTTTATCCGTGTACAGCTGGAGGAGACAAGTCTCTACTTCTTGCTCCAAAACTCCGATGTTGGTCACGGACTTGAGAAGACACTTCCCTTGGTGTCTGCCCAGTTGTGGGGATGCCTTCCTTGATCACTCACCCACGTTACAGCCCAGGAATCAGTCAGGGATGCCTACTGAAAACGCTAGTAGCTGCTCGCTCCTTCTAATCTCTACCTTTTTCATTAAAACTTACCTCCTTCGCTATGAACAACTTTCAGCCCTCTATTCCTCAATCCTCACCTCTAGCCTGCATCCTAAAACACCTAAAACTTCTTCAACTGTTGCCCAATCTGAAACCTAAACATCTCTGTAGCACGGCCCGGCCTCAGTCCAAATGACCGGAAAAAGGCACTTTCGATTTTTCTATTCTGTGAGACCTGGACCATTTTTTTTTAAGGCTACTCAAGTGAAGCCGTGGGAGTGGAGAAGGAACACAGAAATCTGGAACTGGTTGTAATCAATTATTAGAAACTGGACCATTTTTTTCAACAAATGGGCAAATGCTCTAAGATGTCAGACATCCAGGCATTTTTTTTACACTCTAATTCCTCCCAAATCTCTGCTCCTTCTCTCCCTCCCGTCCGCCCCGCCTGCCTCTGCCAGTGACCCAGAATCCTCCTGGTCCGTCAGCCCTTCCTACCTTTCTTCTCCCCGCCTGTCTGAACCAAACCCCAGTCCAGGCCCAGCCCTACCCCCAGCCTTCCTCCTCTTCCTCTGCCCACAACCCACCTCCTTATCCCCCTCCTGTCACCTCCCCACCTCATCCGGGGCCCCGCTTACAGTTTAGTCCTGTGGCTACCTCCTCCGCCCCTGCCCAACAATTACCCCTTCCAGAGGTGGCTGGAGCCGAAGGCACATTTAGGGTGCACTTTCCTTCCTCTTTCTCCAACCTTTCCCAAATTAGCTTACATCAGATCCTCCAATACTTAACCCGGTCCTGTCATCTCACCTGGAGTGACTTGAAATGTCATCCTTACTTCCACTCTCACCCCTGAAGAACGCTTAATATGCATTTTATCGGGCCGGGGGCGGTGGCTCAAGCCTGTAATCCCAGCACTTTGGGAGGCCGAGGCGGGTGGATCACGAGGTCAAGAGATCGAGACCATCCTGGTCAACATGGTGAAACCCCGTCTCTACTAAAACTACAAAAAATTAGCTGGGCATGGTGGCGCGTGCCTGTAATCCCAGCAACTCAGGAGGCTGAGGCAGGAGAATTGCCTGAACCCGGGAGGCGGAGGTTGCGGTGAGCCGAGATCGCGCCATTGCACTCCAGCCTGGGTAACAAGAGCGAAACTCCATCTCAAAAAAAAAAAAAAAAAAAAGCTACAGAAATTAAAATCTGGCCCTCAAACCCCACAACAGGAATTAATCAACCTCACCTTCAAAGCACTCAATAACAGGGAAGGGGCCGTCTGGAAGCAGCACATCTCAGAACTTAATCACATTGGGGCCACCCACCCCACCCTGCCTTCTTTGCAAGGACCTGTCTCCTCGGCCACCATAACTGTTGTGGGAATTGACGGCAGGGCCTCCAGGCCTCTCACAACTCCCCGAGTCTGGTGTCAGTTAGGCCAGCACTCCTTTCCACGTTCTTTCCTAATCATCCCCACTTGTCCAGTTCCCCTGTTAGGCTGAGACACCCCGGCAAAACCGTCTGCCTCCTTAACTGTTCCTGGGCTACAGCCACGCCTCATTGCCACCCTCCTCCCTGAACCCGTACCTCCCTCAATAGCTCCCCTTATGTCCCCCTACCTTAATCTTAGGGTACGGGACACCACCTCCCCATCCCTTGCTACAAGTCACTCACCCCTCATCATCCCCTTAAAACCTAACCACTCTTACCCCGCCCAGCGCCAGCACCCCATCCCACAACAGGCTTTAAAAGGCCTAAAGCCTGTTATCACCTGTCTATTGCAACATGGCCTTTAATTCCTACAAACTCTCCTTACAAGTCCCCTGTCCTAGCTGTCCAAAAACCAGACAAATTCTACAGACTAGTCCAAGACCACCGCCTCATTAATCAGACTGTACTTCCCATCCACCCGGTTGTACCAACCCCTATTCCCTCCTATCTTCCACACCCTCTTTCGCAACTCACTGTTCTGTTCTTGACCTCAAAAACGCTTTTTTTCTAAAGACCAAATTTCTTCCCTGTCTCTTATAATCCTTCACCAGTATACACACGCGCTCCCTGCAAACCGCATCCAGTTAGTTTCCCAAACCCCAACCCCATTCACTAAACAATGGCTTCTGTCCTTCCTGGCGTTGGAGGATACTTTCGCCTATGGATACCAAGTTTTGCCCCTCTAACCAAAGCACTTTATAAATTTACAAAAGGAAACCTATCCGACCTCATAGACCAAAAATCCTTCCCCCATTCTTCCTTCCATTCTTTAAAAAAGGCCGTAGAGACTGCTCCTACGTTAGCACTCCCCAACTCCTCTCGACCATTCTCTCTACGTAGCAGAAATAAAAGGCTGTGCCATCAGGATTCTTACCCCGGAGCCGGGCCCACAGCCCACAGCCTTTTTATCCAAACAACTTAACCTCACAGTCCTGGGCTGGCCCTCATTCCTATGCGCAGCAGCAGCTGCCGCCCTGATGCTCTTAGACTCCCTCAAAATCACAGGCTCCGCCCCACTTACCCTCTATAGATCTCACAACCTCCAAAGTTTAGTTTCCTCTTCACACCTCACACACTTTCAGCCCCTTGCCTTCTCCAGCTTTATGTAGTCGCCCTTCCTACTTAAACCACACCTCAGAAAATTTCTGTTTCCATTATTTTCTGTCTAACTGTGCTCAAATTCACTGCACTCATTTATTTTTACATGCCCTGCTTCTGTTTAGGCTGCTGGTTTACACTTTTCCTCCCGGCAATCACAGCTGATATTTCACTCTTAATCCGGCCCCCGTTCTCTGCTCGTCCTCAATCTTGTTCATGTGGGTGAGTGGTTACTTACAGATACCGCAGGCCTTCTCATACACCAGGAAAACAAAAGCTCTCCCTCTGCACAGTTACCCCACCAAGCCCCGCTACAACCTTGAACAGCCGCAGCCTTTGCTGGTTCTCTTGGCATTTGGGTCCAAGAACCCAGCACCCCCTAGAACACTTTCTCACCTTTTCAGTTTACAGCGCCAGTTCTTTCTGTCTAAGCCAAGGACTTTTTTTCCTCTGTGGTTCTTACATCTGCCTTCCTACCAACTGGACAGGCACTTGTACCCTAGTTTTCCTTAAGCCCAAAATTCAGTTTACCAACGGAGACGAAAGCCTCCGGGTTCCCCTTGTGGTCCTGACATGTCACAAGGGGGTCATTCCATTGACCCTCTTACGCGTAGGGTTAGGAGTTACTAGTGCACTCGGCACAGGTATAGCAGGTCTTACCACTTCAATCGTCTCCCTCCCTAGCCTCTCTAACGATTTCTCTGCTAGCATTGCAGAATTAACTCAATCACTATCCCTTCTTCAAGCTCACCTAAATTCCCTAGCTGCAGTTGTCCTCCAAAACCTCAGAGGTCTTGATTTACTGACTCCTGAAAAAGGAGGTCTTTGTCTATTTCTTGAACTCCTGACCTTAGATGATCCGCCCACCTCGGCCTCCCAAAGTGCTAGGATTACAGGCGTGAGCCACCACGCCCAGCACTGTCTTTGTCTATTTCTAAATGAAGAATGTTGTTTTTATGTACACCAGTCTGGCTTTGTATATGATGCCATCAATAAATTAAAAGAGCCCAAAAGCTCACTAATCAGGCAGATAACCATCTGGAGCTGGCTGGACTGGCTGGACACTCTCTAATGGAGTCATGGCTTCTTCCAGTCCTTAGTCCTCTGCTACCTATGTTTCTCCTTCTCTTATTTGGACCCTGTGTTTTCCAGTTAATCTCTCAGTTCCTACAAAATCGTATACAAGCAACAAGCAATCAGTCAATATGACAAATGATCCCTCTAACAACCCCACAATATCACCCCTTGCCCTGAGGTCTCCCAGCAGTCTAAATTCTTTACCATTTTCAGGTGTCCACACCGCTCCCAATCCCACTTGAAGAAACCCTGAGAAACATTGCCCCATCACCCCTCTGTGCCAGTCTCCCTAATAGTCCACTGCCCTCCACTCTTCATTTCTTTTTCCTCTATATTAC